CTAGTGGAAGTACCTGAAACCAAAACTGAAAACTGTAAGCACGAAGCTTAGTGAGCTCCCCCAAACTACCACATACCATACAATAACATATAAAACACATATTGGGCCTTGCCCACTGCATCGGGCCCCGCCCGACATCAGACCGAAGTCCGACATAATTTGGACCCCGCCCACTGCATCGGGCCCCGCCCGGCATCAGACCGAAGTCCGGAATAACTTGGGCCCCGCCTACTGCATCGGACCGAAGTCTGGAATAACTTGCGCCCTGCCCACTGCATCGAATCGAAGTCCAGAATAATTGAACATGACATATACATAAACATGTAACATAAACATATAAATGTTGCATCGGGCTTGCCCGGCATCAGACCGAAGTCCGGAACACAAAGCACATAACATAAACATACATGAATCACAAAGACATCAAGCATACATACTACTTCTCGGGACCACCCCGGCATCAAACCGAAGTCGGGAAACATATAAACTGCATCAGGCTAACCCCGACATCAGACCGAAGTCGGGAACTACTAATATCTAAACGAGCCGGCATTGTGGCCGTATACCCGTTCCTAAAGGAGGAAACTCACCTCGCGTAGCTGGCTGCTGAAACACTGAGCGGAAAATATCTGACTGCTGTTTCGGCGACTCTCCGGCTATAATTTCCACAATGACACTTAGTCAGAAACTAACAACTATCCTTAGGGTAAATTGACCATTTTACCCCTGGCTAAAGTCCACATCCTGGTCAAAGTCAACTTTCCAGTTGACCGGACTCGCCGAGTTGGCCCGCCAACTCGCCGAGTCCCAATCCTTTCATCTATCCCTAACTCGTCTCCACTCGTCGAGTTTAGCAAGAACTCGACGAGTTCTCCTTCAATCATAACATCGGGACAATCTTCATCTGACTCGTCGAGTTCCTCCCGAACTCGTCGAGTTTATCTTCATCATATGATAGTGTCTAGTATGTGACTAGCTGAGTTGTATGAACAACTCGTCGAGTCCGTCTTCATGAGTTGGGAGATGGCCTTGGACTCGCCGAGTACGTTCCTACACTCGCTGAGTCCCATGGTTTCCAGATCCATGGCTATGTCCATTTCGTTGAGTCCCTTCCCTTGACTCATCTAAATCCCTTCTAAACTCAACTGGGTTTCTCCTGAATCATAACAGTTTTGGGAATCAAACAACAACTCACCGATTCCTAGGAACGACTCGTCGAGTCTATGCATGTCCAAGTCTATAACCCAACTTCTGATGTGAAAAACTCATCCAGAAGGTAGATCTAGGCTCCTAAGATCGGTATGACACGTAAAGTCATGAACTTTACGTTCATGCATGGGACTTTTATGCTCAAAGGACCAAAAATGGGGTTTATTTCATACTTGGGGTTCTCATGGCCATAAAGATGGCACCTTTATGCCATGAGGACCCTCCAAGGTTCCAGATCTGAGTGTAAATCGACTTGGGACGTCCAAGTCCCAATGATCAAGCTTCTTGGACCCAAAACTTCATAAAAATGACCACAAGGAGATCTAAGAAACTACAAGTCAAGTATGAAGCTTGATTACCAGAAAGTGAAGAGAAACTGATGTTGTTCTTGGATCTACAATCTTCTCTTGAAGTCCTCCTTCTTCCTCTTCTTCCCACAAGCTTCAAATTACACAAGATTACTCAAAAATGACACTCAAACACTCACAAGGCTAAAGGTGGCGAGTTAGGGTTTTCTGGACGTTGAGGGAGTGATAAGGGAGGCCACCAGGGTGTTAAGTTCTTTAAATAGGGAGACAACCCTTAAAATTAGGGTTTCTATCAAAACAACTCCTACTCGCCAAGTCGGTCTTCCGACTCGTCGAGTAGGTCACTTAGTTCCCCGACCCGGAGTCGATCCTACTCGACGAGTTGGCCTCCAACTCGTCGAGTCCAAGTAAAATATGAAGTTGACTCAAATTAAATGCATACCTGGAATTGGGTGTTACACGGAAACCCCCAATCCATCGGTGAACACTTTCACACACGATGTAATATTCCACATTTAAAACTCTATTTTATTGTTGTGGTCGTTATGACACTAATCTTCGGCAAAAATAGCTGGTAGCGGGTAGCGGGTAACGTTTTCTTAAACACTATATGAAGTAGCATTTGGATTTGGAGCCTTTTATTTAAAATAAACATAGAAGCTTGTAGTGTCAAACGAGACTTTTTGTTCAAAATTGAGCGTTTTGTCAAACACTAGAAGCTATAAGCTCTCAAACGTTGCGTGCTGATTACGCCCTAATTGTGGAGAGGTAAGTTGAGACTCATATTAAGAGCTTTACTCAAAGTTCATTTGCATTTTTTGAGATTTTCAGTTACAAGCGTAAATGATATTTTATTGAGGATACATTCGAAGAAATACTACTAGGTATGAAAATATTTAAATAATAAGTACGGAAAAATGACATATATGCCCTATTAAGTTTATAGGGTTTACTCTTTTAGTCCCTAAACTATTTTTGTGGTTTTATGAGTAACCAACTCATGGGCAACCTGTCTTTTTAGTCCCTATAATTTAGAATAATCGGTTTTATATGCCACATTAGCAATTTAAGATGATGTGGACAGTAAAGTTCATAATTTCATTTTCTAGTCAAAATTGAGATAATAAAGTCGGCATGTCGTGTAGAAAGGAACACATAAACACACATATACCTACTTTCTTCACCACCACCCACTCCCCATCATCACATTCATCAGTTTTTATAAAGTCGGCAACCCTTGATGCAACCACCGTCACTCTCATAAGGCTTTCATACGATTCACCTAAGACTCAACCTTAGCAGCGACTGTTTTCTTGAGAGACTAGACAACCTTAGCAGTGACTGTTTTCCCTTGTTTTTAGAGTCTAATTGCTTCCAATCTTGCAAACACCTACTGATTTCATTCTCGATTTCAATCTCCTTATTAGTTTTCTCCTCCGAATTCTCAAGAACACCTGATTATGATAACCCAATTGGAAGATTATGGAAGGGTTTCGATTGGTGAAGGGGGTGAAGAACGAAACCAGAGGGTTTCGAGGACCCAATTGGGATTTGGTTTTCTTTACTGGAAAACGAAGAATAGACAGAGTCGAAAGAATCAAAAGATCGGTTTATGGTTACCAGTTTCTTCACGAGCCACGATGTCGATTTGATGAGATTGTTCGAATTCAAGCTCTCGGAATCAGCGCCATTGTCGAAAACTACATTGTTCCATACCTGAAGATCTTTCTTGTCCATGATTGCTTCTGGGTGTTCTCCAAGAACACTCTTTGGAGCTTGTTGTGCTTAATTATGACCCACTTCAAAGCGGGAGTTAGGTCACACGACTGGATTTAAGATTTGGGTTTTTTTGTTGACGATGGTTTCTTCTTCATGAGCTTTGTTTATGAAACAATCGCCGATTTCAAACATGCTTTTCAAGATATAAATGACTAGTGATTATATGGTTGATTTTGTAGGAATCTAAGTCGACGAAACTGTAAGGTTTGTATAACAAACAACGTCGAAAGAGAGTCGAGATGTTTTTTTGGAGCTTTGTCGTGCTTAATGAACTCAATCGGAGCCGAATTGGTGATATGGCAAAGTTTGTTCAACAAATTGGGAAAATTCAAAGTCGATATGTGGAAATTGGTCAACAAAATGTTAATGAGGCAAAGGGTAACGGGATGACCACTTCATTTTGGCCAAAAGGACCTAATCGACCCGACAAAAACGACTTTGTTCCGTCATAAAGCCACGAAAATAATTTAGGGACTAAATAGACCAACTGTAGAAAATTCGTAGGATATTTGTGTCATTTTCCCTAATAAGTACTGATATAGAAGATCCATGAATTACATTAATAGATTAACATGATTTTTCTCAAAAAATTTAATGTGGGATTAACCAAACTATGAATAAAATCAAGGTTTTGAAAACCGGACCGGACATCGAACCGGATGTCTTAGTGGTTTGATGGTTCAATTGGTTCGACCCGGAAAAACCGGATATATATATATATATATATATATATATATATATATATATATATATATATATATATATATATATATGTGTGTGTGTTATATGTATATATTATATTAAATATATGTAGTATGTGTGTTTTTTAAATATATGAAGTGCATACGTAGTTGTGTAAAAAAACAAATATAATATTCATGTGTGTTGTGTAAAAATAAATAGTGTAAACATATTTAATGTGTAAATTGTAAAAGAACGTTGAAATATTGAGGCATCCCAAATTGTAAAAATGGAAGTATTGAGCATCCCACGTCGATGGGTGAAACTAAAAGAGAAGGTAAACTCCATCTATAAAAGGGAGTATTATGCGTGCCAGGTTAATTACTTATAGCCTCGTTTCAATTGGCTGGCTCCCTTGAGCTGGATTGCTCTTTTGAGCTATTTTGAGCTAGATATGAGAGCCAATGCTTTACAATAAACCGGTTTTTTTCCGGTTGAACCAACCGGTTTTTTCCGGTTCTTAGCAAAACCTGTGGTTTTTAACTGTTTGATTGACAGCCGGTTTTTGGGTGCTTAAAAACCGGAGACCTGACCGGTTTCCGGTTGAATCGGCCGGTCCGGTCCGGTTTTCAAAACACTGAATACAATGCATACCATGCAGTCAAAAAGTCAAGGAAACGTGATAAAATAAATTAAAAAATAAAAGAAAAAGAGAGAGAGAAAATGAAAAAGAGAGAGAGAGAAAATGAAACTCTAGATTGGTATTGTCCATGCACTTCAAATAAAACTACTTAATTTTGCAGTTAATTGATACGACTTTCATGCATAAACCATTAATACAAAATTAATTATTCAGAACGAACGGCGTCCAATCATCCACGTATTCCTCAATCCTCCGTCCAATCAATCATCTCCGTATTCTAGGATTCAGTGTCTATAAAACTGGATTAATGGAAAACAAGACGACCGAACAGACATAACTACAATCTTTGAAGAACTTGGGAATTTCGAAAGTTAAGGGTGATGGAGGAAGAGAATGAAGATAGCATAATCAGGAGTTTAGGTAGAAGTTTGAGTAGGGCAGCTGGCAGTTTGAGAATGGAAGACGTGTTCTCCATTGGTTATGCCGGCACCCACCATGGAAGGAGCAGCCACCACTCTGTGGAAGACGAAGAGGCATTGCGCTGGGCAGCTTTGGAGAAACTCCCAACCTACAAACGGATACGAACAACCATCTTCAAGTCTTATATTCCAGCTGATCTTAAAAACCAAACACCAGCTGATAAGTTGCTGTTAGATGTCCGAGAGCTCGATCAACATACTCAACAAGACTTCATTAACAAGACATTTAAGGTTGTTGAAGAAGATAACGAAATGTTCTTGAAAAAGTTTAGAGATCGTGTTGATAAGTAAGGCTTGTACTTCATAATCTATTTCCTTTCTTGTTATTCTATTTATATTTTATTGACATGTTGGTTAATTCCCGCCAGATATTGATACTATCTATCAACATGATTACGAAATAACCCCGTTAATATTTCAGGGTTGGCATCGTTCTTCCAACAGTAGAAGTTCGGTTTCAAAATTTGACGATAGAAGCAGATTGCTATATAGGTGATAGAGCACTTCCTTCACTACCAAACGCCACCCGAAACACTGTCGAAGCAATTTTGGGTAATATTGGAATCAGTTTATCTAAAAAAACTAAACTCACTATTCTTAAAGATGCATCCGGAATTATCAAACCTTCAAGGTACGTATATCATAGTGATTTCAATTAAGGATACCGCTCATACTAGGAGCGATTATAAGAACATTCATGGTTTAGTGGAAATGGTCGAATGAGGTTGAATACTATTATTTAATGGATTAAACCAAACATAGTGAAATACCAAGTTGGCATTTATTAACGCATTAACGGCCTTTGTACCCTTCAATAGGGAAAAATAATAATTATTTTTTTTTTTTAATATGTTCCATTGAACCTTTCTAAAGTGCAATGCATTTTAGGAATTAAATGATAAAATTGTATAAAAATGTAATACTTATACACAATCCATTAAATTTTATATTGTATAATAATTTATATTGATGGGTAACACAATATTGGATTTGTAACGTTACAGAATGACACTTTTATTGGGCCCCCCTTCTTCTGGAAAGACCACACTACTGTTGGCTATGGCCGGAAAGCTTGACCGCAGCTTAAAGGTCATTATAAAGTTTAAATGTTCGATACAAACATTAGACATGTGATTAAAGCTTCCAATGAAGTGTAATATTTACATTTACTATGAGGTGTAACTATATCAACTGGACAAACATATAAATTAAACAGGTTGAAGGAGAGATTACTTACAATGGTTATAAGCTCAATGAATTTGAACCTCGAAGAACATCAGCCTACATAAGCCAGAACGATGTTCATGTTGGAGAAATGACCGTCAAAGAAACCTTAGATTTCTCAGCAAGGTGCCAAGGAGTGGGATCGAAGTTAGGTAATGCTTTTTTAAATAATCTTGAAACAAAATATTATATGATTAATTAATAACCAAAATATGAAATATAGAAATGCTAGTGGAGCTTGCAAGAAGAGAGAAGCAAGCAGGGATTCACCCAGAAGCTGAAGTCGACCTTTTTTATGAAGGCAACTGCCATAGAAGGAGAAGCAAGCAGTTTGATTACTTACTATACTCTTAGAGTAAGATAGATCCTCTCGAACTCTATAACCTTTATGATCTTATTTATTATAGTTAAAAACTTTATCTAAATAAAAACTTTCTTTTGTCTATTAATTAATGCGTCTATTAACGCATATTAGATATTAGGCCTGGATGTCTGCCGTGATACCTATGTGGGTGATGCAATGCTACGAGGAATCTCTGGTGGACAGAAGAAGCGATTAACTACAGGTTAATTTGATAATTTCCTTTCTTTTGGTCTATACAATTTCAGTATGTTTAATTATATTGGACACTGACTTTGGTAAATACTAAATTTGGTTTTGGTCCCTTAGGAGAGATGCTTGTGGGACCCGCAAAAACTTTGTTTATGGACGAGATATCAACAGGTCTAGACAGTTCCACTACATTTCAAATAGTCAAGTGCTTGCAACAAATTGTACACCTCACCGAGTCAACAATCTTAATGTCCCTACTACAACCTGCTCCAGAGACATTCCATCTATTTGATGACATCATTCTAATATCCGAGGGACAAATTGTGTATCAAGGACCACGAGAACATGTTCTTGATTTTTTCACGAGTTGTGGATTCATGTGTCCAGAAAGAAAGGGCACTGCTGATTTCTTGCAAGAGGTACAATACAAACTACCATTAAGTTAATAGAACCCCAACTTACAAGATTTTCAACATTGTTTTATCTTAATGATAGGTTACCTCTCAGAAGGATCAAGAGCAATATTGGATAGATAGAACCAAACCATACAGATATATCCCAGTTAGTGAATTTGCTCAGCACTTCAAGAATTTCCACGTGGGTGAGAAGTTAAACAATGAGCTTTTACTCCCATATGACAAGACCCGAAGCCATAAAGCAGCTTTAGTCTTCAAAAAATACTTGGTGTCAAACAAGGAGCTTCTCAAGGCCTCATGGGATAAGGAATGGCTCCTATTAAAGAGAAACAGTTTCATTTACATTTTCAAGAGTGTCCAGTTTATCATTGTAGCTTTCGTTGGGATGACTTTGTTTTTTAGGACTACAATGCACACTAGGGATGAACAAGATGGTGCAATCTATATAGGAGCACTTTTGTTCAGCTTACTCATAAACATGTTTAATGGTCTAGCTGAAATTTCCCTCACTATAATAAGGCTTCCTGTAATTTTTAAGCAAAGAGAACTTCTCTTTCACCCATCATGGGCTTACACACTTCCAACCTTCTTGCTTCGATTACCAATTTCTTTGTTTGAGAGTGTTGCTTGGATGGTTATCGTGTATTATGGTGTTGGCTTTGCTCCTGAAGTTAGCAGGTATCAAAATTTTATTGTTGTGTAATTACAACTTCATTTGTGACACTATTTTTTAATTAAAAGATCTATATATAATATATCCTACTATTGTCTACAGGTTCTTCAAGCATTTCCTGGTAGTGTTTATGATACAGAATGTGTCAGGGGGACTTTTTCGGCTTATTGCTGGAGTGTGTAGGACAATGAACATGGCAAATGCGGGTGGAACCCTTGTACTTCTTTTCATATTCTTTTTTGGTGGTTTTCTCATTCCTAAAGCTCAAATTCCTGATATGTGGGAATGGGGTTATTGGCTATCACCATTGTCATATGGCTTTAAAGCTTTTGCAGTGAATGAGTTCTTTGCACCTAGGTGGATGAAGAAAATGGTAAGTAACTAAAAGCATAAAAACTATAATAAAAGGAAGTGTATTCATTATATTTTGCTGTTCACAGAGTTCGGATAATGTAACTACCTTGGGAATAGCAATACTAGAAAATATGGATATACCAACCCAAAGAAGCTGGTTTTGGACTGGTGTTGCCTCTCTTCTTGGTTTTGCTATTCTATTCAACATCCTCTTTACTTTTGTGCTTATGTATTTTGATCGTAAGTTTCCACTTAAAACTGTTTCTCAAAGAACTTTTAACTATAACTAACCTTTGATTGTCATACTAATTTATAAGCCCCTGGAAAACCACAACCAATTATCTCCAAAGAAACAGCCTTAGGGATGGAGAATCAACAGCATAGTAACCAACAACCAACACTTGAAAAGATTGCATCAAAGCAAGATATAACTCCTCAATCGTTATTTGTTGCTAATGGAAGCAATTCGAGTAAGAAAAACAAGTTTCAAAAAACATAGAAGTTCACTCACCTAGTCACACTTTTATCAGTTTTACTAACACAATATATGACTTCTGTAAAAGGAATTATTGAATTGCAAGTCGAACAAAGTGGATCCAACTCTTATGATTCTAATGGGAGTGCTAGTAGAAAGGGAATGATTTTACCATTTACTCCACTTGCCATGTCATTTGATAGCATCAACTATTTTGTTGATATGCCCCAAGTAATTAAATTCTCATGCTCTTTAACTTTTTGTCAATATGAATTCCAATTCAAAACTTAATAAGAATCGTAAAACAAATTTTATTACAAATCCAATGGTTTTTGTTGAAACAGGAAATGAGAGAAGAAGGGGTAACAGAAAATAGGTTGCAGTTACTTAGTGAAGTAACTGGTGCTTTTAGGCCTGGAGTACTAACTGCACTGATGGGAGTAAGTGGAGCTGGTAAAACGACATTGATGGATGTTTTAGCAGGAAGAAAGACAGGTGGTTATACTGAAGGAGATATAAGAATATCAGGATTTCCAAAGAAACAAGAAACTTTTGCTAGAATTTCTGGATATTGTGAGCAAACTGATATCCACTCTCCACAAATAACTGTTGACGAATCCTTGATTTACTCGGCTTTCCTTCGATTGCCAAAAGAAGTGGGCAATGAGGATAAGATGGTGAGGGAATGGGAATGGGAATGAGAATGCAATCAAATTTTGTCAAACAAGATAAGAAGAAGGCTAGAGAGCTAATTTTCTCCTATTTGGTGTCTTTCAGATTTTTGTCCATGAAGTCTTAGAGCTAGTAGAACTAGGTAACCTCAAGGATGCAATAGTTGGGCTTCCAGGAGTTAGTGGATTGTCAACAGAACAAAGAAAGAGACTAACAATTGCAGTAGAACTTGTTGCAAATCCTTCAATTATTTTCATGGATGAACCAACTTCTGGACTTGATGCAAGAGCAGCTGCCATTGTTATGAGAGCTATAAGAAACACAGTGGAAACAGGGAGAACTGTTGTATGCACCATTCATCAGCCTAGCATCGATATCTTTGAATCCTTTGATGAGTTGTTGCTGATGAAAAGAGGAGGACAAGTGATCTATGCAGGACCACTAGGCAGGAATTCTCAAAACATTGTAGAATATTTTGAGGTATTACGACATGCATATTTTAAAACCTAGACAATCGATCCTTAATTAATATTGACATAAGCGTAAGTGATTAACTAGTCACATATAATGCGAATAGGAAATTCCTGGGGTCCCAAAGATTCCAGAAAAATACAATCCTGCAACATGGATGTTGGAAGTCAGTTCTAGTGCTGCAGAGATCCGACTCAATATGGATTTTGCTGAGTACTTCAGATCATCAGTCATGCAACAGTAATGTTTTTTTTTTTTTTTTTTCTAATGATAATTATTAAGTAACACAAAATCATCAAAATATTGTAATAATTTGTCTATGCTCTAATACTCAATAGGAGAAACAAGCATTTAGTGATGCAATTAAGTACACCCCCTCCTGGAGCAGTTGATCTTCATTTTGAAACACAATATTCTCAGTCTACATGGGAACAATTCAAGTCTTGTATATGGAAGATGTGGTGGAGTTACTGGAGAAATCCTGATTATAATCTTGTCCGAAACTTCTTCACATTGGCTACTGCACTCATTGTTGGAACATTGTTTTGGAAGATTGGTGAAATAAGGTCACTCTCCAACACTTGAACATAACATCACTTATATATGATGATCTTCATCACTCTTAATTTCCCCAACTCTTTCTTCAGGGAGAACACCAACAATTTGAATACCATCATTGGAGCCATGTATGGTGGTGTGTTCCTTGTTGGTATGAACAACTGCCAAACAGTGCAACCAGTAGCAGCCACAGAAAGAACAGTGTTCTATCGAGAAAGAGCAGCTGGAATGTACTCAGTATTACCATATGCCATGGCACAGGTCTAAATTTCAATAAATATTCACAAAATAACAAACCAATGATTTTAAGTTTTAACAAACGGAGATACATACGTTCAGGTGTTTGTAGAGATCCCATACGTATTTATTGAAGCCACCTATTACACAGTAATAGTGTATGCCATGGTGTCATTTCAATGGACAGCATCGAAATTTCTTTGGTCATTTTTCATCAACTTCTTTTCATTCCTCTATTTTACATACTACGGACTCATGACTGTTTCCATCACACCAAACGAGCAACTGGCAGCCATATTGGCAGCTTCATTTTACTCGGTCTTCAATTTCTTTTCAGGGTTTTACATCCCTAGACCTGTAAGTCATATTTTCCATGCTTATGCATTGTAATAATTTATTCATCTAGAGGCTAAAGTTTACTTATTGGTGAATTTCAGAGAATTCCAAAGTGGTGGGTGTGGTACTACTGGATGTGTCCAATGGCCTGGACTGCTTATGGGTTCATTGTTTCACAGTACCATGATGTTGAGAAAACGATCAAGGTGCCTGGGATGTCATATGAACAGCCCATAAATTTGTATATCCAAGACTATTATGGGTATAGATTAGATTTCATGGGTCCGGTTGCTGCGGTTCTTGTTGGTTTTTGTGTATTGTTTGTTGGCATCTATGTCTTCTGTTTAAGGACATTGAACTTCCAAGTGAGATGAACCTACATCACTATCCTAATATATTTATATGTTTTTATGAATTCAACTAGAAACTTATTAATTGGGTTGCATTATCAAAAATCATGTCCCATGGTTTTATGAATGGAATATTGTAATTTCATGTATTTGAATATTTACTCAACATTAATAATGTTTCTTGGCTACACTTGCTAAGATTGGCAATTTATGTAATGGGCTATGTATCATAAATTTGATTATGATATTATATTAAATGCTATAAGCGACGGATTAACGCGGAATCGTTAGTCGAAAAACCCGTGTTTCTATTGTCAGCGACGGATTAAGGACGACATAATTACTCATGGAACCTCTAGATCATTGTTGTTTATTAGTAAATGTACAATTTTCTGTTTTAACAATGGTTTAGTAGGTGTGAATCTGTTCCATAACAAGGATTCACAAATGTAGATTCAAATTTTATACCCGAAAATCAAAACATGAGCATTCGACTACCAAAATAAATATTAATATTTTATTAGCAAAATAAAAATTCATGTTCGATTGCAAATTATGAAACCACATCACAAAAATCAAAAGTGTCAAAATATAGTTAAGGGGGTATTTGTGGCAATTTCAAATTATAATTTTATATATTTAATTAAAAGAAATAAGGGGGGTGATAGGTGACTATTTGCTATTAGTGAAAGGAGGGGTGAGGGGAGTGTGATGAGAAAATAAGGTGTTGATGAGTGATATTAGTGAAAGGAGGGGTGAGGGGAGTGTGATGAGAAAATAATGTGTTGATGAGTGATGCCGAGAAAAAATGAGGGGATGTGATAGCCAACACCGGTTGGCCTAACTAATTTATTTATTTATTTGTTTATTTTTTTTGAAATAACCAACATTGCATTAAGAAAACTCTAATAAGGAACTATAGAGAACAAAAAATTATAAAGAATTCAAAGGACATTGCAGGCAGCAAGTCCATGTAATAGAATAATTCCTACTCTATTTGTCAAAAAAAACTTTAGAATAGTCTAAAATATCTCCTCTTTTCAGTTTTCCACCAGCAAAAATCTTATCATTTCTAAACCTCTAAATATACCACCAGGTAGTACCCATCACTGCGTCAATAACATTTTTCTTTGTAGTTCAAAGATTCAAGGAGTTCACATACTCAAAAAAGACAAGTCACAGAAGAAAAATGAGCAGGTTGCAAACCAAGCCATTTAAAAACTCCATCTCACGTTCTAGCTGCCACCTCACATCTAAGAAAAAGATGACTAAACTGTTCTACTTCCAAATTATAGACCGGACAAAGAGTAGAATGAACATCCACTCCCCGATGATCAAGATAAATAAGGGTAGGAAGTCTATACATTCTAATACGCCACACCAAAATATTAACTTTTCGAGGAAGGGATCTATTCCATCTAGTTTGCATATGAACGGAAGGAAGAATGCAAGTATCTATCCATCTTCTTAATAAAGAAACTTTAAACTCACCTGAAGGATCTAAATTCCACGTCCACCTATCAACTCGATCCGTAAAAGCAACATCATTAAGGACAACCAACAACTCTTTAAATTGACATTCTTACTCACCTCCCCTTATATTTCGCCGCCAATGCCAAGTCCACTCAACACCCCTTTTAAGATCAGAAATAGCAATTTTTATCGAGCTCTAACTGATACAAATGAGGAAAAGAAATAGCTAAAATGTGATCTCCAATCCAGACATCATTCCAGAATAAAGTAGCATTTCCATTACCGATTTTTTTCTCAGAATTTGATTTGAAAATATTTCTTTTTCCTCTAATTTCGACTAAGAAGCAATAATCTTTACCCATGGAGAAGAACCAACAACGCTAAACGTACCACCAACAAAACCACCGTTATCACCATAAATAACTTCAATAAACGAAACCCAAATTAGATCTTGCTTATTAAGAAAACACCAACGCCAGGGGCGGAGCTAGAATTTTAGATTAGCGGTGGTGTAGACGTACATCGTAATATATATATATATATATATATATATATATATATATAATAAACCATTTGAGTGAGATATATGTCTATATTGTATGTGAGTTTATAGTCTTACATCATAAAAATAGATTGTGATATGGAAAGTAATAATACATATTGCAATGTTATTTGTATAGTTATAACTTTGATGTTTTCTGAAAACTTAAGTAATAAATAATGAATAAATATATAACAAAACATTAATATCCAATAACATTAATTACATTTTAATACATACAGAAGGAGATGAAGTATACAATTGATGTTGGGCTTTGAAAGAGATGGAGCATATAGTTGATGGTGGGCTTTGAGTGGTGATATACTAATGTCTATGGAGTTAGGGGGCACAACACCCACTAGCCCCCCTACTGGCTCCGCCCATGACCAACGCAATTTTTTGAATAAGAGAAAAATTCAACGCAATCAAACTTCCAATATTCAACCCTCCTTGAATGAGATCCGCCAACACCAAATCCCACTTCACTCATGAGGTTTTTCGATGATCCTCCCGACTCCCCCCAAAAAAATCTAGCACAGGCAGATTTCAAATATTTTGCAACTGCAACATGCAACATAAAAAGTGACATATAATATGTTCCAAGGGAACCCGATATCGATTTAAGAAGCACCATACGACCACCAATAGATAGAGTAGACATTTTCCACCTAGACAGTTTCTTTACAAATTTCTCCTTTATTGGTTTACACCCCACAACTCTAGACATATTTTGTCTTATCAGAAGACCTAAATCAATAAAAGGCAATTTTTAGGTTTAGTATGTGGTTTTTATATATGATTTGATTCATACATAATAGTTTTTCTCTACACACAACAAATTTATGCTGAAAAAGTTGTACTATACAGTTATATAAATCCTAAATTATTGTGTATGAAGAAAAAATATTGTATTCAAATCAGCTCCCTTTTTATATATTTATTCATTTTAAATGGTCTGAATCATGATTATTTTTTTCATTATCAGGTCATCGATTAATGTAATCTTCATCAAATACCAAGAGCGAAGAAGGGAATGATAAGTATGACTATGTGGTTTATGAAACATTGAAGGATGGTGGAAAATGTAAGAAGTCATGGCTAAAATCCAACATGGTCCTCCTAATGAAACTCAGAAATGTGGAAGGGGAAGGGACCAAATACACACAACTAACTACAAAACTCGTGAAAGAAAAAAAAAATCAAAGTGGATTTTGAATATCAAGTCAAATATTACAGTCAAATCTGTAGCTGATCAGATGATGAGACTAGAGCGGAAGCGAGTGAAAAGTTGACGTGGGAATCCCATCGTAAAAATATCGGCATATTGATAGTCAGGCGGAACATGTAGCACACGTAAAGAACCCAAAGACACTTTTTCCCAGACAAAGTGGATGTCAAATTCAACATGTTTTGTGTTTTGGTGTTGCACTGGCTTTTTGGCGAGGTAAACGGTTGAAATGTTGTCATAGTAGATGATCGTAGCTTTGCGTAAAGGAAGGTGTAGCTCAAGAATAATATTGAAAATCCATGTGGTTTCATCCATTGCATTGGAAACTCCTTTGCACTCGGCTTCAGCGCTTGATCAAGAGATGGTGGGTTGTCATTTAAATGACCATGAGACGGGATTCTCAATGAGAAACAACAATAATTGGATGTGGATCGCTGAGATTCAAGGCACCCCCTCCCAATCTACATTGGAATAAGCGATGAGATTGTTGGATTTGGAGGGTGAAATATGTAGTTTGTCACTATTGGTGCCCTTAAGGTATCTTAGGATGTGCTTAAAAATGGAAGTACGTCTCTCGTGGGGCGTGCATAAAGAGATACACTTTTGAATAGTGTAGGCAATGTCGGGGGGGGGGGGGGGTGAATGTCAAGTATTAGAGAGCCCCGACTAGACTATGATAAAGAGAAGAATCAGGAAATGGGTTATTCGTGGTTGCGATGAGCTTAGAGTTGGTATAAACAGGCATAGTGGACGGTTTGCAGTCTTGAATTTTAGCTCAATTGAGGATGTCATGCAAGTATTGCTCTTGAGATAAAAATAATCCTCCGTTTTTATGTTGAACTTGAATACCAAGGAAGTGGTGAATATGGCCAATGTCGGACATTGCGAAATCATGAGATAATATATCATTGAATAGCATAACGTAGCAGTGTATGATGCAGTTAAAATGATGTCGTCCACATAAAGAAGTAGATAAGCTATTTTGGTGCCATGTTGGAAGATGAATAAAGAGGTATCACAATTGCTGTTTTTATATCCGTGCTTTTGGATATAAGTTGAAAACCAATAATACCATGAGTGAGGAGGGATAACATGAGTTTGTTTAGGCGATGAATCATGCAATCGGCAATGTCGTTTTACTGGGAAGTATGTGGGCATGAAAAACGGATATGGAGACCGGTAGTGGAAGCAAAGGTATGGAATCAGTGATTATCAAATTCACCACCTATATCACACTGAAAGGTTTTTAGGTTGTGTTAAACTGTGTTTTAATAAAGTTGTGGAAGTATTTAATTTTGTCAAAAGTTTCAGATTTAAGTTTGAGGAGAAAGACCCATGTATAGTGAGTGAAGTCATCAATTATGATGAGGTAATATTTAAAACATGTTTTGCTCGGGATAGGAGAGTTCTACAAGTCGGCATGAATAATGTCAAATGGTTGTAAAGTGGTCGATGTGAAGTCTTTGAATGGTAAGTGTTTATGCTTGGCAATTTGACATGATTGACTTAAAAATTATTTATCAACTTTATTGCAAGAAATGTGTTTATTAAAACTAAGGAAATCCGTTACATGATGTCCCAGATGTCCTAGTCTAAAATGTTAAATGGGCAAGCTAGAAGAAACATTAAATGATAAAGCTGAAGTGTGAGCTTCGTTGGTGAAGGGGTAGAGATCGCTAGAACTATTTTGCCTCATCATGAGCTTTGTAGTCTTGAGTTCCTTAATATAAAAATCAAATGGGTCAAATTCAACTGAAACAGAATTGTCACAACAAAATTTGC